TTAGACAGCACTTCCATTGTACTCAAAACTAATTTCTTAAATGTAATGAAAATGCTAGTGTGCTTCAAAAGGTTCTTGGAAAGATTTCTATTCTCTTTTCATTCTCTTTTTCCCCAAACGTTTGAAATACCCTGGTACAGTGCATTACTCATTTATAAAGAACACCCTTTTTATGTTGTATGTTTTAAAAGTAAATGATTTGTGTGTGTTGTAAAAAACAGTACAAAACAAAACTTACAACTTAGTTTACTGATGTGCAAATAATTGTTTTTTGTGAATTCCATAATCTCTATTAGGGCTAGAAACGTCACTGAAATACATGTAGTTAACATTCATTGTGAGTTTCAAAACTTCTACCTGTGGATATGAAGGTATATTGAATGTATTTGACTTGTAATTTAAGACTTTCTCCCCCACGTAATTTTGTTAAATATGTTTTGAGTTTTGGGGACTTTGATGTATCATGCAGTATTTGCTATGTAAGAAGCGTATCAAACCCCAGTGGCTTAAAAAACTCAGCTATCTTTTTTCTTTTTTTTTTTTGAAGTTCTATGGATCCACATCTTGGGGTGCATTTAGCTGGGCAGTTCTCATTCTAGTGTTCCCTCGATTACAAATGTGGATTTAGTCACCTGGTGCTATGAGGCTGTATGGTTAAAGATGGCTTCACTCACATGTGTCCCTTCCCTCGGGAATTGGGAGTCGGTCTGTGGAACCTGGAAGGGGGAGTGGGTGGGACAAGAGACGCAAAGGAGGGAGGCAAGACAAGGATCTGATCAAGCCTCGTTTTATTGTCTCACACAAGCTTCTTATATAGAAGTGTAAAAAAGGGGAAGTAGGGGGAGAAAAAATAAAAAAACAGAAGTTGTTCAGAAGTCTTCTCAGAATCATCACACCCGAGCGCAGCTTAGTTCTTGTGGTCGGCCAACTAGATTTTAATCAGCAGTCATAAATGAGAGCATGCAGTTTTCACAAACTTGCTAGGCCGCAGCCTCAGCTTTTTCCATGCTCAGCCCACCACCACTTTCTCATCAGGAAGTTGGCAGTCTGTCCTTTTGGCTCTGCAATACAAAGCTCAAAGCATATTGTTAATCATCCATATATCTTTGATTAATAAGCATAATCTGAACTGCAGATACACGTTCTCGAACAAATTGGACCAAGCGATTAAGTATGCAAGGGCCAAAAGTCAACAAAAGAAACAGGATAAGTAATGGTCCAGCAATGGACGAAATCAAGGTTGTTAACATGACATCCCCCCTGTCTTAGGTTGGGTCGGGACGCATCTGCTTACCCGTCCCTGGCTAACCAACTCTCTTATGGACTAGGGCAAAAATGAGACACAGGAAGGCATGCATTAGCGTATATTTGATGATCAAGCGTGTGGCAGGCGTGGGTAAAGAAAAATCTGAAACAAAGCTCAAAGCATATTGTTAATCATCCATATATCTTTGATTAATAAGCATAATCTGAACTGCAGATACACGTTCTCGAACAAATTGGACCAAGCGATTAAGTATGCAAGGGCCAAAAGTCAATAAAAGAAACAGGATAAGTAATGGTCCAGCAATGGACGAAATCAAGGTTGTTAACCATGGAGAGGAATTGAACCAGGATTCAAACCACCCTTGGGCTTGTTCCCGTTCTCTCTTTCTTTTGGCTAGGCCTTCACGGACCTTGGCCATAGAGTCTTTGACCACCCAGGAGTGGTCAG